TCCAAAACCGGGTCTCCACCCAAAGAAGGCCAAGTTGCCGATTTGGCGGTATAAGAAAGGGGTGATACACTTATTCGTTGCTGAAAACGGCCAAAGCATCGTTTCGGAGGTCTACGTGCAACAAATCAAGGAGATGCACTCAAAGTTGCAGGTTTTGGAACCATTGATCAATCGAAAAGGCCCTATCCTGCTGCAGGACAACGCACGTCCTCACGTCTCTGCAATGACACTCAAGGCACTCAATGATTTAAGCATCGAGCCTCATCCAGCCTATTCACCAGACCTATCGCCAACTGATTACCACTTATTTAAGCACCTTGATTGCTTTCTCAGAGACTAAATATTTGCAATTCAAAGATGCGGTGGAGGTTTAAAATGCCATTGACGCTTTTATCAATTCTAGAACTTCTGACTTGGAACTTACATGGATTCGAAAAAATATTCTTCTGCTGACAAAAGTGCATTGATTGAAAGGGGATGATATTTTGATTAGTTAGTGGTTTTAAATAAAAAAATTTTTGATGTTTGAAGTTGAGTATGAAACACGCAGTTATTTTCCGTAATACCTAATAAATGGGTTGAATATTTTTTGCGTGTGAATCGCACTATATAAGGAGTTGACGTTTTTTGGGGGTGGGTGACAAATGCGACCTTTTTTTTTGCGCAACTGCACATTCGCGCACCTTCTTTCGCTGGAAAACGCCTTAGGAAAGGCTGTAGAGTTACAAAAATGTTATTCTATAAGGGAATCGTATGCGTCGATTCCGAATTTCGACAAATCAGACCTCGCTGACACGTCAAATTTGGGCTAAAAGGCCAAAAAACTGAGCCTGAGCCTGAGCCTAAGCCTAAGCCTAAGCCTAATGCTTTTCCGCAGTTTTTGCCTTTTTTGAATTTTTGCCAAATTTGACGTGTCAGCGACTGACTGTAAATAGTTTATCTCACGGATTTTCTCGGCTCTAAATCTTATCCGAAATATTTAGCAAGAATGTCAGAAAAGATACGGATACTTAGCAGTACTAAGAAAGAGTAAATGATGAATGAAAAGTTTAAATTTTCTTTAAAGAAATTAGCATAATCAGCATAACTACGGTAACCTTTTTGAAGCCCACGCTTTAGAGCCCACGCTTTAGAGCCCACGCTTTGGAGCCCACTCTTGTGCTTAAATAATTAATCACAAGAACACACTCTAGACATGAAGAATCTGTTAATTTCAGCTCCTTTGGTCTCCCTATTCACCGTCAATTGCATATCAAGGATTCGAAGTAACAATGCAATCGATAAAAATTGTCACAGTGGGTTGTTGGATAAAACAGACACTCACTGAGAATCAGCCATTTTTTGCCATCAGCAATTCTCTATTCGCCGGCGGTGAGTGGCTTTTGTGACACTAAGCTTTAAACTTGATAACTTAAAAAAAGTTACAAAGAAAAACAGATCTTTAAGTGCTAAGTGATTCTATTTGTATTGATGTTGATCCATCGTGTCAAAATTGTACAATGATCATCGATATGGCTCGCTTTTGCGTCGAGGCAGCAACGATAGAGGTGTGTTTGTCCTGATGGGAATATCTTTGTGACTTATCCCTCTAAATTTCTCATTTTCATTTCCAATCGTATTCCAGAAAACAAATTGTTCACTCGTTGCTCCATTTCTTGTTGACGGAAAACAGAAAGAGCTGAAAAATTGTAGTCATGGGTAATAGTAGAGATTATTTTATGCATAGCTAATCCCAATTTCAGATATCGCGATAAAACGAACAGACACTACCAAAAATGCTCTTTTACATCAAAAAACAACAATATCTCTTTTTTGGGAAGAGCCGTTTATGATCATGAACTTGGAAATGAGCTCAGGGACACGACGATCTCTGTGAGAGTTCAAGAATGGATGGATGGTAGATCTTTTGACTAGTTTAACGTTTCGACAAATTAAACTTTGTTTGCGTTAACGTCAGAATTTCAGATCGATACGATTATTCGTTGGAAGTGTTTCAGAAAGAAGAACTTTTCATCGAAACGCTCCCATTTGCAATGAAATTTGAGGCAAATTCGAGGCCGACCTGGATTTCTTTCATGTTGCAAAGATCGAATCCGCGACAATTGCAGAAATTCCGATGGGTGGGTCATTTCTTGGGATATTTGTGCTTTTTTCTGGTAGATTCATCAAAAACCTAGGACCGGGCGGATCGAGAGTGCAAATACGAGTTTATAATGGGGCCACCACCAGGGAAAAAGTCGGAACCAATGCTGAAATTGATGACATTCAAGTAAATCTCTGAATGTTTGCCATTCCAATCTTTCTATCCAGTGATGATGATCGCTTTGTGGGTGATTTTATCGATTGCAGTCTCTACAGTGCTTTGATTCCAGCTGGGTGTACTCCAAGCATTTTGATTACAAGAGACGGAGACATGTGTATGCATGCTTATATTACGTTCAAGATAATCAAGATCACATTCAAGATAATGCAAGATAAATGCTAATTAGCATGAAACGACTAGGTTACGGTCACAGGTCCCCGGTGCTGCAAATTTCGATCCCCGGTGCTGCAAATTTCTTTTGCGTTTTTTGTTTTGATGCTTTTCACTAAGCAACTATGATACTAATAACAATGCTTTTAAAGAAACAGAAACAATTAAACAAGTACAACACTTGCACAACACAGTTCAACAGTTCGATCCCCGGTGCTGCTATTTTTTATACAGGAACAGTACTCCATTGATTGCCGAAGATGCCAACGAGTAATACTGTATCAACACCAATCCCCATCAAGTGTAGCTCTGGGATTTACGCTGACCGTAGGATCAATTACATTGCGGTTGATCATCTTGCGGTGGCACACCTCAAACTTGCGTAATTAAACCGGCGTTAATGTCGGCGTTTAGAATTTACTCATTTCTATTAAAGAGTGAATGAAACGGAGCGTTATCTAGCCGACGACTACGTTATGCTACGCTCCACTCATCTTTCCGACATTTCTTAAAAATGGCTCGACCAATTTCCAACCTAAAACTACCATCAGATAGCTTAAAAGAGAACGCATTTTTCGAGAACTCATCCATGTTTTTAGGTTGAAACGGTGACGTTAAAATAAATTGAAAAACAAAAGTTTTGGAAAAAGCGCTTAACGATAGCATTAGTAAAATTATTGTTAAAATTGCCGAAACGAAATTCCTGAAGTTTAGTAGAGCCACAGATTCATGTCCATGTCTAAAGATTTACAATGATAGATGAAAATTAGAAGAGCACATCTAATAGAAGAGCGCTCTAGAGGGGATAGGAGAAAATAGAAGGGGCTACCCTTCAATTATTGGGTTGATGCATAATTATCCGGACTTCTTTTTGCGTGCTTGTATCTTTTTTGTTTTGAAAGCTTTTTGTCTATTTCTTTTTTTAAAATATTCGTTATTCTTTAGTGAACAAAATGCGTGTCGACAATCATATCCATCTTCGCCATATCATGCTCTACCACTTCGAAAAGGGATGGTCTGCCGCAGAGTCGTTTCGCGATCTCAAAGAACTGGAGAAGCCCCAACGGACTACCACGTCAATCGATCGCTCAAAAATTGGCAAACAAATAAGATCTACAACGATTTGGATGACTTGATAGACGATGTTAAAGCGTGGATTGCCTCCAAAGATCGTTTATTCTTCGCTCGTGGAATCGATCGTCTTCCAAGCAAATGGCAATCAGTTATTGATGTAGGCGGTGAATATGCTCCAGAATAATCAATTAAACATATTTTTCTAACTATTTATGTTATTTTTTGTTAAATAAAATCATTTATAAAAGAAGTCCGGATAATTATGCATCAACCCAATACATTATTTACGGTATATTGAAAAACAAAGAGAATCTTTATAGTTTACAACAGTGTCGCTAAACAAGTTTGTGATGGGGAAACATTTTTGACGAGCGGTTATTTCGATGACACAGACGGTCAACCGTACGGAGCATACAATGTGACGCAAAAATTCTATTGCGGTAGGATTGCAAGATTTTTGTGATTTAAAATTGTTTCCAGTTGATCCAATCGATATCGATGTTGAAATTACTTTGCCTGGTGGTGCTTTATCATTGTATTTTCTTGATACTAGAAATGTGGAAGTGGCCAGGAAAACGTTCTTATAAAACCTTCATTTATAACTGAAAGATATTCAGGATTTTTGCTAGAAACATCACTGAATCTCAACGAAATCTCAATTATACAAATGTCGGCTCAGTGGCGGTTTGTTATGATTGAAAGAGATAAGAAGAAAAAGCCAAATTGACTCATTTCAATAACAATAACCCTTTGACATTCAGGTGCATTGGTTTAACTTTAATTGTGAAGATAATTCATTAAAAGAATGTTGGCTTTCGAACAGAAATGGATTCTTTGCAAAGTTTCATATCAAAAAGAGAAAGTTTTCGCCAAATGGAAATGAATAAAGTGAATGTTTCATGTCTGATTTGAAGAAATCACTTTTTCAGTCTTGCAATAGAAAAGAAAACACAAACAGACTCTGGGAATTAAAAAGTATTTTATATTCGTTCATTTTATTGATATGAAGAGTTGGAAAGCGTTCTTCTAACTCAAACCAATAAACAAAGCACCATTGACATAGAGTAAAGATTAGCATTGAACGTGAGATTCTTGACTTGTCTAACCTTTGACCTTTGAAATCTTTGTTTGAAATGTCTCTCTAATATGAGGGTTACTGGTTATTGATGAAAACTGGAAAAGAAATATAGTTGAAAAATCTCTAATTACCAGGAAACTATGGTCCCGGGCTTCGATCTATTTCATCTAAGAACGTTGATGATTAACAAGTAGATGCCCTTGCAAGTATTTTTGACGACCATCTAAATCTCAGCGATAATGACGACAATATAGAGGGATAAAACCTTTGATTTACCAAGTTGTTATTGTTGTTATACTCTTTTTTATCTTTTTGTGGCGCCCTATTTTGTTAGAACTTTTAGCTTCTGATGATTAAATTTATCTTTCATTTTTAGATTGCGTCCGCCAACAGGTCATCATCATTAATCATCAACATCATCAACATAAACATCAGCAACATCAACATCATCAACATCAACATCAACATCATCAACCTCAGCATCATCAACCTCAACATCATCAACATCAACATCATCAACATCAACATCAACATCATCAACATCAACATCATCAACATCAACATCATCAACATCAACATCAACATCATCAACATCAACATCATCAACATCAACATCATCAACATCAACATCAACATCATCAACATCAACATCATCAACATCAACATCATCAACATCAACATCAACATCAACATCATCAACATCATCAACATCAACATCATCAACATCAACATCAACATCAACAGCCTCAACATCATCAACAGGTCATCATTAAGTATCGTCAATAACATCACTGCCAAGAAATGGAGCATCTATAGACTTCAGCCGGATCGTTTTTATTGTTTCTAGGCTTATTTTACCTTTAAGAACCCTTTAACTTATATGTTAGCAATTTTCATCGAGCCCTCCTTTATGAGATTTACCTAATGTTTGATTACAGAAACAAAACATGAATTTGAAAAGAAAAAAGAAACACTTTAATAAACAAGAAATTAATGTAATTCAATGAAATCCTTTTCTTTTTCAGTACCTTTTTGTCCCTTTTCTTTCTTCTTTATATAGAACTTTGCAAAGAATCCATTTTTGTTTGAAAGATAACATTTTGGATCGGTCCAATCATAACAATCCAAAAACCAATTCACCTAAAAGGAAATCTAAAAGCAAACTTTGGAATTGAAGCTAATTTTAGGTTTCAATCAGAGCTAAAAGTTCTGCTACTTCTCTAACGATAAATCATTCTATTGGGTTGGGGAGAATGAGTCGGCGCCGAAAATCAAAAAAATGCCTAAAACTTCTAGCAGACTTCGTCAAATAATATGCGTTTGATATCAGTAGAATGGTTAACTAATTCTCTACAAAATGACATTTAAAAGAAAATTCAAACAGCGCCTCCGCTCAAGAAAAAGCCATTTTTTCACAAAAACTACAAACTGTCATCTAGAAAAAACCATTGGTGGAATCTTCCTGCAAATTTGGCAACTTAAGTAATTGAATGTGCTCTATCTTTTTTATATAAACACCAAAGAAGGTTTATGTGAAAGAAACTGTTCAAATGATGAGTCGGGCTCTTTGCCATTTTGACTAGCTGTGTTTGGGAGTCCATAAACTCCACGAAAGAAAAGCTTTGTGGAATCTCTCAAAAGTCATTTTGTAGAGAAATAGTGGATCCTTTTGATGAAACCAAACGTATGTTTAAAGAAGGCTTTATGTGTGCAAAAAGTCCCTTTAAGGTTTGGCGCCGACTCATTCTCCCCAACCCAATAACATCATTCTGTAATTCGAACAAACCGTCACCGATCCAACATTTGTGTAAGTGATATTGTGCTGGGATTGAGTAGTATTCTTAGCGAAAAGTCTGAAAACCTTTTAGCTATACGTTAAGGTTTATTCAAACGTTTCCAATGCAAAATCCACATTATCTATGTCAAAGAAGTGAAACAATAAACCACCACCAGGCAAAGAAATTTCGATATCGATATTGATTGGTTCAGCTAAAAGGTTTTATTTTAGAATTCAAAAATAAATTAACCGTGCATTTCCTACTTTCATTCGAAAGACTTACTGCAATAAAATTTATGCGAAATGTTGTAATCACCATATTTATCACCGATCGGATCATCGAAATAAGCACTTGTCAGAAAAGTTTCGCCTTCACAAATCCGCTCCGCAAAGTTTCGAGCTAAAATGAATATTAGCTAAATTGAAGTTTTTGGGTTCATTTTATTATTATAAGATGAAATCTAAGAAAATTTGAGAAAAGATTCGACCAAAAGCAATACAAAAGCAATTTTCCAGGTTAGACTTTGTCTGTGAAAGGTCTCTGAGTGCGAGCCTCCACCTAAATTAACCCTGAACCTGACCTGGACTGTACTAGTCTATCAGATCTGACTCTGAAACATTTCATGACCTTGGTTTTAGTTTAAATCTCTATTTATCCAGTACTTCCTAAGCGTTTAGGGTCGAGATTTGCAAGTAGAATACTTGGAGTGCATCCAGCTGGAATGAGAGCACTGTAAAGCCACATCGATTAATCGTGCTTGCCTCTTCTGAGTAACAAATCGTGATCTAGACTTGTCAGAGTACTTCCAACAGTAAATCGCTTCCATTGGTTTGTGATGGATTACTTTATTTCTACAGTTAAATATTAGATAAATCATTAGATAAATCTCTTACAGTAACCGTCATCTTAGAGATATTAGAGAATCATTTCACAAAAGTGACAATGTGAACAGACTTTTACTCTTCCATCGATAATCAATTTACAAACTTTACACTTCTACATTCAATAATCTTCAAAAATACTATGTGTGGGCGTTTTTTTGTTCCAAACAATTCAACATTCTCCAAAAACCGTCCGTTTTCCTTTTTTTGTTATCTTGATCTCCTTTAATTCCCGACTAAGTTTGGCTAAACAAATGTAAAAAAAAATGCCCCAACTTGACTCTTTTTGAAAGATTTTCTTTAACATTTTCAAAACTAATGAAAAGAATTCCATTTCGGCTAATTTTGTTATTGCTTTGTTTTGTCGGAAATCTTTTGGCTGCTAACAATACTGCCAGTGATAAGACAATCGAAGAAAGGAGGAAATGCGTTGATCGTGAGTCGTAAATTGCAAAATCTTGATTATTATTATAATGTTACATTTACCGTATTCTCCCTAATACCGTCTTGCGGGTTCGGAGGGGATCAAATAGTACTCACATAATTTAAATGCATTTAAAATTAGCATTTACATTTTTGTTGTATGTAGTTTTGAATTATTTTAAAGTTGAAAACACACTTTTCTACTATTTTTGTTGTTTTTAATAATTTTTATGCGTTTCTTTTGCACTAGAGATAGTCCTCTAGAGTCGAGTAGAGCTCTAGAGTCGAGTAGAGCTCTAGAGTCGAGTAGAGCTCTAGAGTCGAGTAGAGCTCTAGAGTCGAGTAGAGCTCTAGAGTCGAGTAGAGCTCTAGAGTCGAGTAGAGTCCAGTCAGAGGTCCTTGACGACTCGCCTCATTTTTTGACTCGTGACTCGACTCGATGCGCGTTAGCCGAGTCGAGTCACAAGTCGAAAATCGTCACTATTCACTATTTTGCATTTAATATCTAACTTCTCGACCCATAAACGAAGCTACGAGGAAACTCCTAAAGGATTTGCAAATTGATTCGATTCTGGTACCTGGAGGGTGCACCAAGTACATTCAAGCACCGGATGTCGTCTGGAATGCTCTTTTTATAACGAGAAAAGATAATATATGAAGTTTGGATAATGAATGGGCGAAGACCGTTGATTCGCAGTGGAAATCCACCAATGGAAACCTATCTTGAATGGGTTTGGAATGCGTGGAACGAACTCCCGAAGAGCATCATCATGACCTCGTTCAAGAATTGTGCGATTGGCTACTGATGGCTCGGAAGATGGTCTCATTGACCGCTATAAATCCAAATCCATCAATGGAGTAAAGGATAAATTTGGAAATATTGAATTGAATGGAGATAACGATTTTGTTGATGTTGTTGATTGTTGATTTTGATTTCTTATCCGTTAATTTTTTCTCATTTTTTTTGTTTTTGAATTTTTTTCAATAAATTTAAAGAAAGTGATTAATTTTGCAAGAGTATTTAAAGAAAATGCTAGATCTTTTTTATTTGAAATTTCTTTTGGTAAGTTGTTAAAACTCTAATAGCATTGCGGTCTCGGAGGGGTATTGAAAGAATAGTATGGCGCAATACTATTCTTTCACAATAGCGAGAGTCCGGTAACTCAAGAAGGCTATGGAAAATTTGAAATTGTTACTTGTAACAAGTTAATGGGTGACTAACTTGGTGTTAGTCTTATAGTTGTTCAAATCCGACCTTTCCCAATCACTTTCCCTTTCAGTCGCTCTCTCAAACTATCAGCCAACATGCAAAACAAAATTCAACGTTTACGTGATGGTTATTCTTGATCGAGACAGTGAAGAGGAAGCGCTAAGGAATTTGATGCTAATGGAACCGATGTTTGACACATGTGCGGATAAAGATTTGAAAGAATTACAAGATGCACATGATTCTGGAGAAGCAGTCTCGAATGTGACATTCAGGTTGGGAAAATGGAAATTTTAAAGGAAAATGGAAAGATTAAGGGAAAATCTTTTTCTCATTTAGTCAAGTGATGTTTCTAAGAGGTTTGGGGTACGATTTCAACAAAGATGACTGTAATTTGTACTATACTTTTGATGAGGTTCGAAACATGTCGATATTCCCAAGAGATCACCATGGAAAACCTTTGTATTCTTATTATGATTCGTGGAATTGGTTAGATGTTTGGGAGTTTTGAAATTCATGAATTTTCAGGGGTCTAAATGACATTGACATCTTGAGTCTTTTGAATCAAACGGAGAAATTCGAAAATAATTGTACACACGATGATCTCGATAAGAAACAAGTTGTTGTTTTTGCTTTCATCTCAATGCCAATGGATGATGGTGAATTTTCTAGAGTTGACTCTGTTCTTGCTAGCAATTAGTGGCTAAATCTAAAGACAAGATTACGATAGCTGCAGTAGATCTATAATTTAGAGAATCTATTAGGGTGGTGCAAAAGAAACTGCCGGATTTGACGATAAATTCAAAAAAAAGATGGCGTTCGATGGTGACATGATCACAATGGAATATTTTCGCAAGATCTCGAGCAGATTGGCATGGATCGGCCTGAACAACGTCCCTCAGCTTGGCTTCGTCCCTCAGCTTGGCTTCGTCCCTCAGCTTGGCTTCGTCCCTCAGCTTGGCTTCGTCCCTCAGCTTGGCTTCGTCCCTCAGCTTGGCTTCGTCCCTCAGCTTGGCTTCGTCCCTCAGCTTGGCTTCGTCCCTCAGCTTGGCTTCGTCCCTCAGCTTGGCTTCGTCCCTCAGCTTGGCTTCGTCCCTCAGCTTGGCTTCGTCCCTCAGCTTGGCTTCGTCCCTCAGCTTGGCTTCGTCCCTCAGCTTGGCTTCGTCCCTCAGCTTGGCTTCGTCCCTCAGCTTGGCTTCGTCCCTCAGCTTGGCTTCGTCCCTCAGCTTGGCTTCGTCCCTCAGCTTGGCTTCGTCCCTCAGCTTGGCTTCGTCCCTCAGCTTGGCTTCGTCCCTCAGCTTGGCTTCGTCCCTCAGCTTGGCTTCGTCCCTCAGCTTGGCTTCGTCCCTCAGCTTGGCTTCGTTCACGACTTCTGGCCTCACACCGTGCTCGTAATCTTCCAAAGTCTCGTCTCCCTCTCGGAATCGTTGAAACCAAGTCTGACACTGCCTGAGAGACAAACTGCCATCTCCAAAAGCAGAACAGAGAGAACGATGCGATTCGGCAGCAGATTTTCCAATTTTGAAGTTAAACAGCAATGCTGCCCGTAGCACAAACTTTTGCTCCACCAAGATCTAAATAAAAAATATAAGCATTTTTAAATAAAATAAACAACAACCAAAAAATTCAAATGTCAAAATAAATAGCAAACAAATATGCGAACAAAACCTAAAAAAAATAATGCCGTTAGCATCGCTCGTTTCTGATAAATGAGAGCTGATACCCATCGGCAGTTTCTTTTGCACCACCCTAATAGTAGTGCACCCTGAGCGTCGCCTAAATTGCTCGAAATCTCGAGAACCGCTTATCAGAACCTATCGATGTGGGGTCGGAAAATGTAGCTGACGATGAGAGTTTCTTTTGCAGTTTCTTTTGCACCACCCTAATATGATAGTTGACGTTGAAAATTCAGCTATCGATCGTTTCGTTGACATGAAAACCCGTTGGAATGACGCGATGTTAAGAAGTTATTCAATAAACAATTATATTATGAAGATCTTCTGGACAAAACCGGTGAGAATAAACGAAAGAACTTGAAAAAGTTTTGCAGAACGAAACGGGGAACAACGATGTAAGGAAATATTTGAATGAAGTGAAAAAGACCTCAAAAACGTTTATCAGTTCGGTAAGTTGACGAATTCATTCAAAAGTTTAATGATCTTAAACAAATTCAGGAAGAAAATATCACAATGTTGTCTGAAAGTGATAGAACAAAAGCGTATGGAATGTGCGCAAATCCACCAGGTTGAGTGAAAACTTTTCCTTCTTTGGAAACTTTGCAAATTTCTGGTACACTTTGAAACTTACAACTATAAAGTACAACTTCTGACTCTTCTCAAGCATAAAAATTGTAAAAATCTTAGCCACGGTCGCCCCTGTGCTCGACAAATTCCCAGTGGTCGCATTCACGGTTGGAGTGGGAGGATTTCTGTTGATTGTCATCTTTATCGTGGTTGTCGTCTTCGTTCTCTTTACACAAACAAGGTTTTTGAGGCGTTTAGAGGCCATTAGAGGCCATTAGAGGCCATTAGAGGCCATTAGAGGCCATTAGAGGCCATTAGAGGCGACTGGGCAAAAAGTTTCCACTCCCAAATTTTCAGTTTACTCAATCGACATTTTCAGTTTACTCAATCGACCTGCTTACCACTTCTTTCGTTTCTTGGAGAATCGGCTCAAGCTCAAGTTTGCCTTTTTGGTCAAAGTTGGAGAGAAGACAATTGATCTAGCCAATTCTCAAACTTCAGATGCATCAAGAAATCACTGATGCTGGCTTTGATCGATACGTGGCTGCTTACAGAAGGTTCTAGAGGTCTAGCATCAATTTTCCAAAGTTTTTCAGAGGCGAAGATGAATGGGAAGTCGATCCACAGAATTTGCACATCAGCACGGAGAAGCTCGGTTCCGGTGCCGCTGGCTTAGTGTTTATGGGTGAGAAACTAAAAAAATCTACAAGAAAAGTGATCAAGCGCTTAAGAAATTCACAGAAATTCCCAACTTTTGAAAGTGATTTTGAATTTGTAGAATTTGTGGCAAAAAAATTTAGGGCAAAGTTTGGTCCCAAAAAATTGATCATATTGATTTAAACTGTGCTTTGCATTTGTTTCAATGAACTATTTCAATATGTTTCTAATTGCTACAGTGCCCCTAGTCATGGAGTTTATACTTCCTGCCTTGTCCAGCTCTTTTTAACCTACCTACTTTGTCCAGCTCTTAGCCATCCCCGGTTTCTCCAGGGATGCCCACTGCTCACCACGCGGCGGTGGCTGGACGTCGAGCAGCGCCCTCCCACTGGGCCTAATGGTCGACCAAGCATTGTAGATAAAGGAATCAAATTTGCCCCCTCCCAAAGTGGGAGGGGGACCTGGCCTAGTGGGGGATCCTTCCCGCGGGGCCTAATGGTCGGCCCAGAAGGAGGGAGTGCGGGGATGCCATTGTAGATAAAGGAACCAAATTTGCAGAGAAAAGGAACCAAATTTGTAGAGACAGGGAAGACATCCGCGACACATCCAGCCAGTTGGCCACTTCACGGGTCCTGTTCCGTGTGGTTTTGCGCTGAAAGAGCGTCGACAGGGTGAAGACCAAAATGGCCAGCACCCCCACACGTACCGAAGTTTTGCGCCAAATGGGCGACGTCACTCTAGCAAACGTTTTAAAACTGAAAATTGGTATCCGGGGGTTTTCAAGGTTGATTGATCGATTGAAAATGTTATTTTTGTTGAGTTTTTGACGAGAAACCCTTAAATTGGACAAATAATGTAAGATCCTCTCAATGTAAGCTTTCAGCATTCTCTTATATTGATTCTCAATTGAATAATTCGGAAAATCTTGAGCCTTGTTGTTAATTACTCTCATCATGTGTACTGTGATGGAATTTCCTGAACTTTACATTATTTTTGGTACAGTTCCACTATCAGAGATCACTTCTTTGCTGTGGACATTCAGTTACCTAAATCGAAAAAGGTTTTAGTGTGTATTTTAAAGCGTTTTGTGCAAATGTAGTTTCGTATTTTTGGGACTGTGTTCAGCCATTCGATTTTAAAAGTTTTACAGTTTAATCAAACAATTTACAAAAGGATTTAGAACGAAGAACGAGCAAAACGAGCAAAACTTGCGAAAAAACACCTTTTCACTCTTGAATTTGCTTGAAAGTGAATCGAAATTGACTTTAAAAGATGGGAAAATAAACAATAAACACTTTTTATTTAGAGAAAACCATAGGTTAATTGGTGAATTTGTTATTTTTCAACGAAAGTAGGGAAAGAAAAGACTTTCTGGATAGTCCAATAAATACAATGATTTCAGGAATTCTCAGCGGCTTGCCACCAGTTTCCATAATCTATCCAAGAGCTCAGGTATACTAAAATATTGATATCATTGCTTAGAATTTCAATCTTTAGCTGGTTGGTAATTATGCGAGAGATGAGAACCCAGTGGCCATCAAGAAACCCCACGATGGGGCTGGAGCTGAAGAAAGGTTCTCAGGCTTAAATCCGATTCTTTTCAACTTCAATTTTCTACAACAAATTTCAGAATCGAGTTCCTGCAAGAGATTCGCTTTATGAAAACTCTCGGTTTCCACCCTCACGTGCTTACAATGTTGGGTTGTTACATCTATCCACTCCATCCATTGATCGTCACTGAACTCTGTGAATTTGGTGATCTTCTGTCAATCGTGCGACTATTCGGTGATCCAAAAACGGTTTGTTTTAAGGACAAAGAAGTTAATAAGCTAAAACTGACTCACAAATTGTCAGTTTAATAACTGAAACCTTTCTAGAGATCTACAGCTCCAATCGAGGTCGACATTCTCCCGGTGATGGCCTGGCAAATTTGTGATGCTCTTGTAAGTGACTTAAACTTGCGACTTAAACTTAAACTAAACTTGTTTAAACAAAATAAATAGCTTTGACTGATATAATTAAGGTTATTTTCTATAAAGAAAGTTAAATTTTTAAGAATTCAGTCTTTTCTCGCCTCAATCGGAATCATCCACCGTGACGTGGCAGCGAGAAACGTTTTAGTGACAAAAGCGAAAATTGCTAAAGTAAGGGAATGCCGATTTTTTAGAATCAAAGATTTTTTTCAGCTATCCGACTTTGGTCTTTGTCGAAAAAGTGAAAATTTGATGTATATTGGAAAGAAAGTTCCGGCAAGATTACCATTGAAATGGATGGCGCCTGAAGCCATTGAGAAAGCCGAGTACAGCCACAAATCCGATATGTTTGATGGAATTGAAGAATTAGCTATTTATTTCATATTCAGGTGGTCTTACGGAGTTGTCCTTTATGAAATCTTCTCTTTTGGCACTGTCCCTTATCCGACAATCTCATCAGAAGCTGTTCTCGAATTTGTGAAGAAAGGAAATCGTTTGGAAACTCCACAAGACACTCCTCCATGGCTGTAAGATCAAATTTGGCATCTAAACTTTCGCTCTTCATCGACTTTTGGAAGTTTTGAAGAGTTTGAATTGGTAGTCAAGCTCTAAATGTTTAAAACTTACCCCCCAAAAGCCTCCTAACTACGAAATGTGATGGAATTTCAAAACGAGATCTTTCCTATCTTGTTCAGTTATCCGAATCTACTTTTACTTTTTCTCAATTGGCTTTCAAACGCAAGAAATTTGGCTTTAAAGTTTCCTTTGTAAAGCTTCCTCGCTTCGCCTTGTAAAGGTTTCCTCGCGTGCCGGAAGTGGCTGTCCCTGTGGCCGAGAGGTAGTGTTCCCGGTTACAACACGATGACGATGTTTCTGGTCTGGGTTCGATTCCCTCGTTGACCGCATTTTTCTCTTTTTAATGCCAAATTTCTTGCGTTTAAAAGCCATATAGCTAAAAGCGGATTCGGTCTGTGAAAAAATCAACAAGATAGGATCGTTTTGAAATTCTAGCTGTGATAGAAATAATGATAGAATAAAATGATAGAAAGTTGGCGACTTTCCCGGTAAACTGTCCAAAGGCTAATCTTTCTATTCTCTAGAGAACCATTGATGGAATCATGTTGGGAAGAGAAACCAGCAGATCGACCAATGGCCTATGATCTGAAAGCTGCATTGTATTCCCATATTGAGACGGCCGCAAATAGTTATGGATATCTACAGATGAAGTTTGTTTTTGATTTTCAAAGTTTTTTGCTCTTTGTGCTCACTGTTCTCCTAGCCAAATGATAGAAAATTAGTCAAAGCCAAAGCCAAGCCAATCCAAAGCCAATCCAAAGCCAAGCCAAAGCCAAGCCAAATCCAGGCCAAAGCTAAATCAAACCAAGCCAAAGCCAAGCCAAAGCAAATCTGAAGTAAATTTAAGCCTTGACGACTACCCGGGAGAAGAGAATGATGATGAAGAGATCGAAATGCACGCAAATGAATCCTTCAAGATTCTCGACACAAAATTCTAATCATTCTTTGAGTTATTAAACTGTACATCTGAAACTTGGTCTAATATTTTATTATGCAAACAAAATTAATCACTTTTTTTGTCTTTTTGATCCTTATTCTTATAAGAAAACACGAAAAACATAAATCCCCATGAAAATGAAAAATCCAATCGGAAAAAGGATCCCTAAAAAATGAGATTAGAGAAAAATGATCAAATCAACTTGAAATGACATCAATAAAGTTCGGAAAATCATTCCTGAACAGCCAACGCAAATTCCATCCTTTGTAAGGCTAAAGAAACGTTGAAACTTTGAAACATAATCGTTTTGAAACATTTGAAACATTACTTTATTTCCATGGTGATTGTAGTTTTGATAGCCAGTCAGCAGTGTTTCCTAAACTCGATTAGTCTCAGCTTTTTCCTGTTTTCTCACTTGATTTTGTTGCTGAGCTTCTTTGACTCTTTCTAAATTTTCTCTAGCTTTTTTCATTGAATTTTCTTACTTCTTTGATCAAAATATGCGACAATTCCCAATTCAATTAGTCCAATAAAAAGAAAAAGAAAGCAAATTCCCATCCAGCAATCGATTGCTGAAAACTGTTTGAGAAAATAAACAATAACAACAACAACAACAACAACAACAACAACAACAACAACAACAACAACAACAACAGCAACAACAACAACTAAAGCCTACGTTTTGAGTAAGAAGTCTCTGGGATTTGATTTGCAGCTGTTGTCGACTGAAATCAGCTATAAGATGGTTCAATTGCTGAAAGTTACCAAAATAAACATCAGAATCATTGCTGACATGGAAATCATCGCTTTTGGAGCTATTTGATTTCTAGAAGTGTGGTAGATCGCTGGAGAAATGAAAAATGAAACCTATAAATCCAAAAGGAGATCCAAGAGATCATCACAATCATCGTGCTGGGTATGTAAAACTTTAAAAGATCAGAACTGAATGAAACATTTCGAGATTAACCCATAAGCAACTCAATGATTAACCCAAAAGCTCTCCCAAAATGTAGATCCACATTCAGCGTACTGTAAGATCCGGTAGTGTAATGGCTGACCGTTTTATTAAAGCTCAAATCGTGAAGGTAGAAATTTGATGGTGAGATCTGTGAATGGGTTTAGAAATTTTAAGGATTTTATGTACTATCTGATGTACTATTTGATGTACTATTATGCACTATTTGATGTACTATTTGATGTACTTGTAAATGATCTAAAGTAATTGCATGATGATCATCCTGTCCCCATTGAAAATCTAGATCATGAATGGGAAAACCATAGGATTCGAGAGAAATCACACAAGTCACATTCATCATTGGGTATCTCTAAAAGGTTTTCTAAATCAGAAACAGATTTATCAATAGAATTACCGAGTAATCGATTGCACAAGGGAGTGTAATTGTCAAAAATCGACTGCACGTCACAAGACCATCTAAAATTCTTTGAAGTGCTAATAAATCCCAAGAACACAAACCTGCAAATACTTTAATTACCGAATGTTTACTGTAAGACGTCTTCGAGATTTTTTGACTCTAAACTTTTAATTATAAAAGAAAATTGATTCTTAAAAAGTGTCTTTAAAAAAAGACAGCTTTTCTGGTAAAGTACTGAACAATGAAATATCATATTTGAAAAACGATCGTCACGTTCGCACGTCTGTGAATTTCTTGTCTTTGAGTTTAAACTATTAGTGTTATACACTTTCTGAAAGCTCTTTTCAAGGGCTACACAATGGTAATATTAATATTTAGAAATACCGTATTTTTTTGACGCATTTCAGCGCGCGCGAAAGTGACGATCTTTTTTCAAATATGATATTTCATTATTCAGTACTGTAGCTTTACGGATTACGATAGTTTTTTTCAGATAGCTTTCTAGGAACGTTTTTTAGAATGATTTGTATTGGGTTGGTGAATTGAAAACTGCCGGAGTTTGAACTAAAATTTATCCAACATAAAACCATAAATTCATTCGAAATAATTTCCATTATTACTGACGACTTCTGCCCATTTTATAGGCAATTTACGGATTCCTCTTTCGGAGTAGGATTTTGGTTTGTGTGTGAGACAAGTGTGAGACTCAAAAATGGAGGACTGGAGATGTCCCAATTTGAACACTTTCTTCAAAAGAAACCCATTTTGGTGTCAATAGAAAAGTTGTAGAGAATCAAAAATTAGGCTTATAGCCAAATTTCCAAAAAGATACACTTAGTAGTTTCGCTTAAAATGCAAGTTTTGTGAAAATTTGGCATTTCTTTTGTGTAAATTTGGCATTTCTTGAAAACCAGTTTTTGAATCGTTTTGAAAATTAGGATATAAGCTTGATTTTTGATTCTCTACAACTTTTCCATTGACACCAAAATGGGTTTCTTTTGAAGAAAGTGCTCAAACTGTCACATCTGACAATAGCTAGCGGTTTTCAATTCATCAACCTAATAGTGTAGTTATAAAGCTTTTCTACCGGATTTCCAGAATAGTTATTAAGCTTTTTACCGGAATGAATGTATCAGGTGTCCAAATGAGATCTTCATTCGCTTTTTCTTTCATCTGTACAAATGGTGGAATGAGCTGGCCTCGATGTTGATAGGAAAGACGCGGATCTTTCCATTGTTCGCGTAGGAAGAGTTGTACACTGAATTCAAAATGGAAACGAACTGAATTAACGATGATTCCTACCTGACATAACCCTTTTGGATGTTTAGATTCATCGCATTAATGTGCATGCTAACCGAGACAATTATTGGCTGTTGAGTGCCTTTCAAAATGTACTTTTTATTCAAGAATTGAAAGAAATTCCTTCTCGCCAACCTGTTGAGTCAATAATCTTTGGTCTAATCATTGTATTATATGTTGAGTTGACAAGATTTTGCAAGATTTCTTCTTCACCGATAAATCCATCATCTTGAGAATGAATCGATGAAAGACTGAAAAGGTTTTACTATAGTTTTTAAATAGTAAAAGTTAAAATACGTATAATATAGACTCTTTAGACTAGTTTTATTACTAAATATAATACAAATTTAAAAGTTAATTAAAGTTAAACAAAAGATTTACCTAAAAACAAAATAAAATAGTAAAAGAAAGTGCTGCATTCTTTCAGTAAAGGAAATACTGTTCAAATTCTTTTTCAGCTCAATTTTCAACAACATAAATGTTTTTTTTCTTTCCGAAAAAATGCCAAGGACATTTTAGAGATTGAGAAAGGAACTACACGTCAAAAGGATCAGTTGTTAGCATCAATCATCAATATTTCTGTGAATAGTGTTCAGTATTGGTTAGTATTGCTTAGTTGATAAATTCTGATTAAGTTTAACCAACAGTTAACAGTTAACTTCTCTTCATCCCTTTTCATAGTTGAAATGTCTCTTTGGACTTTCAAAAGCAGACCTAAATACTCCAAAAGCAGACTCCAAAAGCAGACCAAAATATTTACCCAAACGAATTTCTTTCTCAAAAGAATCACTCATTTATTTGAATTTTCGTCTCGACTTTTGTTATCAAGTTGCGTTGAAAGAAAAAGACTTTAAAAGTTTAAATTATTTATTTAAACAGTGGCTCTCTGATTGAAAGAATTGTAAATGTAAACAGTAAATCTAAAGTCGATAAACGATGGATAAAATGGATACAACTGTTGGATAAACCACAAAATCAGAAATTGAACTTGAAAGTTTCAAGAAAGATTTAAAAACAATAACAAGTTAATCATAAAAGAAAAAGTAACAAACAAAAATTGAACATCAAAATCGATCAAAAAAATCAGAATCAATAAAATGATCATTTCCTTTTTGTAAATCCTGAAATCCTGTCGATTTGAGGAATCTAAAAAGATTGTCGATTTCTTTTTCAAGGCGACATCAAAGCAACATAATAAATCTGGCTCTAGCTCTGGTTTCCTAATAACTTTCGAAGTGTAAGCTTTCTAAATCGAACCAAAGCTCAGTTCTGGTACAGAATCTTGGCTTACATACGCAATGTGAATCAAAGCTTATTACTTAGCGATGCAAATGATCACTGCTTTAGAAACACAATCTCAACGTTGTTTCTCAGTTTCTATTTCAAAAGTGTGCAAGAAGATCTATAAAAGAATCCCGATGTTTAACCATAAACCCTGAAAAACTTGCAAAATATTTACTTCTTCAAATTTCCATTGATCTCACTCACTTTCCTCTCAAGATTAAAATCATTTTCTTCTAATATTTCTAACACATTTCGTTATCAATTTTTGTGTAAATGGTGACTCGTTTTTGTTTTTATTCACTCGACAAATGGGAGTTGCTGAAAATGACCGCCATTTCTTATCTCATAATTTGGGAATTTTATTTTAATGAAGTTTGGGATGAATAAGAGAAAACGCTGAACAACAAGGTGTAGTATTTGATTCGTAAACAGGAAATCGTTGGAATTCCTTTGATTAGGCTAAGCATCGAGACCTTGACCGATAAAAGTTTGATCAAACTTCAAGTTGAGTTTAAGGTAAGGATTGTTTTAACTGGGCCAAGCCTTGGGCCAAAAGCCAGACTATTGGTGGGTCAGCCAGGCCAGCCAGGTCAGCCAGGCCAGCCAGGCCAGCCAGGTCAGCCAGGTCAGCCAGGTCAGCCAGCCAGGCCAGCAAAGCAAAAGCCAGCTAGGCTCTCGAAAGTTTGTGAGTCAAATCCAAGGCTATTCCCAAGCCGTAACTAGGCCAAGTCTTGATTCTAAAAACAGCCTTGGTCAGTTCTGCAATAGAGAGATCATTTAAGGCGGGTAGGGATCTGACTTATGGCTAGAAAAGTGCTTTCGATACAACACTGACTTGCAAAGTCTTGTACTAAAAGAGCTCTTTGAATAGAGCCTGTACAACAGATGAATCTTACTATAAGAATTTGTAGATAGAACACTTGAATATTTATTATTTATTTCCTTTCAAATGCGTTATAAAAAGACAGAGAAGAATCTCTTTTCTGGCAAAACAATAAAAAACACTTTTTCCATCTTTGTTTTACAAATCACACCAATTTCA